ATAGATATCCATTATCGTAGTTTGTTTTTTATTGAAATGTGTTAAGGACTAGCGTCTTTCGCTTAGATAGGATAAAGCTTTCAGCTTTGTCTTCTCACTCGCTTTTTATGTTGGTGTTTTTTTTGTTTTTTTTCACCTCCTGGCTGTGCATGTGCCATCTGCTGGTTTACATAGAATATTTCAGTGCAGGCACCTCTAGCATGTTTGTGACATCATCCAATGTAAAATTGTAAAACTGAACTGCGAGATGAGTAAATATTGTGTAAATAGAAGAGGCATATGTATTCTTAGTTGAATTTTGGTGTTCTTTGTGTATTTCCTCCAGATCTGTGCAGTAATCCAGTGTAATGCCTCTGTGCAAGAACTTCCTGTAATACAGATCTGTCACTGCTGCCCCCTCTCCTTGTGCAGGGTGACTGGCCTTGTATCTACCTCCTCCTGTAGTTTGTGGCAGGCAGCTTGTAATGGGTGGAGCTTGCGGAGTCCCTCTCACAGCTCTGCTCTCTGCACAGTGTGTACAAAGTGAGGGTGTCACCGCTATTTTTACTAAGGTAATATCTGGGTTTTCAAAACATTTTTGCTGCTCACAAAGTGGATTTATATCCAATTTTTTTGTGAACGTTTTTGTGCCCGGACTTTAAGCACAGTAAGATAATGCCCAAGCAATACATTGCCTGGTCCTGGTTTAAATTATCTGAATTCTGTCAGAATTTGTTCTCTATTATGCTGTCATTTCTGTTTGTTGTCTGATTTGGAGCATCATGCAGCAAAACAGATGCTATACTGCAGTGGTGTAGGGTAAAAATTCTCTTGGGAGAGCCCACGTCTTCTACGTTTGATACAAAGGGTCCGCACCAATCCATGACAAAATGCTAACATGAGGTGTCAAAATAATGTGTTTACTTATTTCTGACTTGGGCTGTCCCTGTTGTCTTTTGATTTTAAATGCCTCTTCTCCATATCCACCTGCCCTGAGTGTTGGCACGGGGCCATGGTAGAGCATATGGCACAGTGGTAGTTTGTGCTTCCCTTCCCCCATAAATAAATTGAGAGATTTGGCAGAATCAGCCTGATCATCCCAGTATGAAAGAGTTTGCTTACACTGCTGGTGCTCTTTGCTCTTTACTACTTTGGAGCTTTATAAATGCTTTGCCTCAGTTCCCAATCTCTAAAAACAGCTTGACAGCACTGAGCAAGACTTGATATTTAACTTCCTACTTTAAGATAGGCCATACGAAGCCAGATTTTATGTTCGTAGTAAAATGTATTGATTGTATAGCCTGACGATCTATCTCATTGGATATAAATTGAAAGGATTGTTTAGGTCAGCCGTTTACAAACAGGGTGCCAAAACACCATGGGTTACCTTCAGGTTTCTTCAAGGGTGACTTGGCAACAAACCTAAAAATTGTATAGAAGCCAGCTGGTGGATCAAGCTTGCCTTTTAGATGCACAAAACCACAATTTTTCATTGTGCACCATTACAGCCTTCCAGCCACTGGCGTCCTAACAACCAGTGATGTCATTGCTTGATAAGGAGGACATTGGGCACCTGCAGAGCATCCTTGTTTGCCCATCTTGCTTTGTCAGCAGCGGGATCATACTGACTGTGTAAGGGAGAAGAGAAATTCTGGAATACTAGTCCGTACCCATGTGCAAAAGGTGTTTGCTTTTGGAAGAGTAAATTGCCTCTAATGTTGGATGTCATACGTGTGGCTGCTGCTCTGTTATGTAAAACTATTAGTTTAGTTCTTCACATTTTAGAATGGGGTGCCTCAAGATTTGTGCAGAATGGGTGTGAAAAGGTTCACAAACACTGGTTTAGGTAGACCTTCATACTACATTTTTGTTGATCTGCAGAGGAATGTGAAAATATGGTATGACGGGGTTTAAGGCAGTTACACAGCAATATGTTCCACGCCGAGGATATGTTAACAATTGTCTCATTGCAGAAATAGTTCTGTTACACTGTTGTCTGACAGCAGCCACTATCCAATACAGCTGTTGAAACCCAATCACCCTTGATCTCAGGATATAGGAGGTGTTCTCCAAAGCAGGATGGTAGTGAACACTAAAAAGGAGAGCAGAGAGAGTGATTATTATTATTATTATACAGTATTTATAAAGCGCCAATGGTTCGCTCAGCACTGTATATTACAAAGGGGGACAGAACATGTGACAGAACAATAACAATACAATGCAAAACATGAGGGGATTGAGGGCCCTGCTCTTTCGAGCTTACAATCTAAGAGGGAGGGGATGGTGGCACAGGAGGAGATAGCTGTGGGGGATGGAGTGGTAGGAAGAGTGGAGGAGGTCAGCAAGCTGGCAGGGTGTGGGGTAGGCTTCCCTGAAGAGATGGGTTTTCAGGGTGCGCCTAAAGGAGAAGAGAGTAGGTGATAATCTGATGGGTTGGGGCAGGGAGTTCCAGAGGATGGGTGACACCCTGGAGAAGTCCTGGAGGCGGGCATGGGAGGAGGAGACCAGGGAACTAGAGAGAAGGAGGTCTTGTGAGGAGCGGAGTGTGCGTGCTGGGTGGTACTTGGATATTAGGTCAGTAATGTAGTTCGGGGCAGTATGGTGGACGGCTTTGTATGTCAGTGTTAGGATTTTGAATTTGATCCGTTGCGCAATCGGAAGCCAGTGGAGGGATTGGCAGAGGGGGGTGGCGGAGATGGAGCGGTTGGGAAGGTTAATGAGTCTGGCAGCCGTATTCAGGATCGACTGAAGCGGGGATAGCCAGCGGCGAGGCAGGTCAGTGAGGAGGGAGTTGCAGTAGTCAAGTCGTGATATGATGAGGGAGTGGATGTGCTGTTTAGTGGTTTCTGGGGTTAGGAACGTGCGTATTTTGGCGATGTTGCGGAGGTGGAGTCTGCACGAGTTTGTTAAAGATTGGACTGGAAGGATAGGTTGGAGTCCAGAATGACACCAAGTACTCTGGCCTGCGGGGCGGGTTTGATGGTGACGTTGTTGGATGTGATGGAGAAGTCAATGGGGGGTGGGGTCCGGGCTGGGGGGAAGGCCAGAAACTCTGTTTTGGAGAGGTTCAGTTTAAGGAAGTGGAGCGACATCCAGTCTGATATATCGCTCAGTAGGTGTGTGATTCGGGCGGAGACTTAGGTGGTGAAGTGGGTGGTTGAGAGATAGATTTGTGTGTCATCGGCATATAGGTGGTAGTTGAAGCCATGAGAGTGTATGAGTTGGCCAAGGGAGGAGGTGTAGATGGAGAAGAGAAGGGGCCCAAGGACGGAGCCTTGAGGGACCCTAACAGAGAGGGGGAGTGAGGGGGAGGTGGTAGCATTATAGGTAATGCTGAAAGAGCGTTGTGACAGGTAGGATGAGAGCCAGGAGAGAGCAGAATCTCTGAGGCCGAGGGAGTATAGTTTTTTGAGGAGGAGGGGGTGGTCGACTGTGTCGAAGGCCGCAGAGAGGTCAAGGAGTAGGAGCACTGAATAGTGGCCATTAGCTTTGGCGGTTAGCAGGTCGTTGGAGAGTTTGAGCAAGGCAGTTTCGGTGGAGTGTAGGGGACGGAAGCCGGACTGTAGGGGATCGAAGAGGTTGTTGTCGTTGGTGAGAGCTTAAGCGGGTAAAGACTAGGCGCTCGAGGAGTTTGGATTTAAATGGGAGCAGGGAAATGGGTCTGAGGTTGTTTGGGTCATTGGGGTCCAGGGAGGGCTTTTTAAGTATGGGGGTGATGTGTGCATGTTTCAGAGGGGAGGGGAAAGTGCCGGAGGAGAGGGAGAGATTAAAGATGTGGGTGAGGGAGCGAAGGATGGAGGGGGAGGGAGGTCGTGGGAGTTGTGAGGGGATAGGGTCGAGGGGGCAGGTGGTGAGGCGTGAGGGGATAGGGTCGAGGGGGCAGGTGGTGAGGCGGGCATCAGAGAGGATCTTGGAGACTTCCTCGATGGTAGTAAGGTCAAAGGTGTGAAGTGTTGGGGGGGCTTCAGTATGAGGAATGTAGGGTGGGGTGGAAGTGAGGGTCAGAGCAGTGGTGGGGCCGTGGGAGAGGGGTGATGAGTGAGGGGGAATGGGGTTGGAGGGAGTTTGAGCATCGATGAAGCGCCTGCGGGTTATGCCGAGGGAGGGGGGGGGGGGATGAGGGGGTAGCTGTGTGAGACGGGACAGGTTGAGAGGGCGTGTGAGTTGCGGCGATGTCCTTGCGAATTGTGTCAATCTTGTTTTTGAAGTGATTGGCAATCTCAAGGGCGGTGAGTGAGGTGCTGGGTGGAGGTGGGGGGGGCGAGAGTAGAGAGGAAGTAGGCTTGTTTGGCTGCGTGGAGGGAGGAGGTGTAGGTGTGGAAGGCAGATTTGTAGCGGGTGAAGGCTTGTTGGGATTTGGTTTTGCGCCATAGTCGCTCCAGGGCACGACTGTGTCGTTTGAGGGTTTTGGTGTGGTCAGTCTGCCAGGGCTGGAGCGGTCGGGGTCTGATGTTGCGTGTGGTTAAAGGCGCTAGTGAGTCGAAGGGCTGTTGACAGCGCGTTGTTGTAGGCAGTCATAGCCAAGTCGGGGCATCACAGGGGGAGGATGCTGTCGTGGAGTTGATCAGCTGCGGAGTGGAGGGAGGCAGGGTTAAGGTTGTGGAGGATACGGCTGGTAGTAGTGTGACATTTGGAGGGGTAGGCGTTGGAGGACAAGGAGATAGAGAAGGTAATCAGGTTGTGGTCAGATAGGAAGGGGGTGTTAGTGAGGTTGTGGGGAGCGCAGCGGTTGGAGAAGACAAGATCAAGGATATTACCGTTGGAATGGGTGGTGGATTGTATGCACTGTGCAAGTGCAAAGGAGGAGGGTAAGTGATGGATCATGTTCATAATTTTTTAAAACTTATACATTTTAAACAAAAAAAAAAGGGGGACAAAAACTTTAGTTTAGAAAGGTCTAGCTATATGAGGTACCAGACCAATTCTATTGAACAGACGTGTTAAAAGAATGATATACTGTACATGCTATTGTAACGGTGAGTCTTTTATTATTTTATCCTTTTTAAATCATGATTATACAGGTTTACCCTGCCAACTCAGGTGAAGAATATAGTGGAGACCGTGGAAGTTATACCTCTAAGCCACCTAATTCTCTTTACCCTGGGGGATTCTACATGGCTGGTGAGTAAATTGCAACTAAACCACTGGTGTTTGGCTCTTTGGATACAATTTTTTTTTTTATAGTTTGGATAACTTCTGTATTCTCTTCCTCTTATGGCTCCTGGTGATAAATATGCTGTCCTTTTGATAATTATAAAGGATTCCATTAATTATCTGAAAATTATAGTTGCATGGGTGCCATGCTGATGCTTTAGCTTTAATGCAAGGTCTGCTTTTTGCGTATGGTCCCCAACCCCATATTCAATCACTGCATTAAAACAGACAATAAATAAAAAACGAATGTGGCAAAGGTAATGTCTTGAGCCTTCCTGCAAAATCCTAAAGCTGGCCATACACCAATTGAGTTTTCTAGTTTTTGGCATATTCAGATTTTTGAATGCTTAGTGTAGTCAAATCAACGTTCCCTTTCGACTGCAGTGATAATATTCGAAGCAGTAGGATGGAAAATTTCTCTGACTAAATTTCTTAAAGATTGCGGGTTTTTTTTTTTTTTTTTTTTTTTTTGGCGGGGGGGAAGAATCATACACATTGCAATGAAACCTGTTTAACTGCTTTCATGCCGCCCTATAGTAGGACTACTGCTGCAGGGCTGCACAAAATCACGTGTATATATACATTATTTGCATTTCCAGGTAGGGAGCGCGCGCTGCCATTGGCGGCTATGGATGTCAATCACTGGGTCCCGGCTGGAGATTCCCCATCGACACCTAGCGATCACCATATAATACTGACAGGGGAGAGAACTGTGTGTAAACAACACAGATCTCTCACCTGCCAGCAAGGACATGCTTTGTATTTCTCTGCACAGCAGGGAAATACAAAGCAGCATATTTCCCTAGTAAAATGCACACAGCACATTATGTAAAACGGCACACAGTGAACCCTTTGATTGCCCCAGATGTTATCACCTTCCTGCCTAGTGTCATTAGTACAGTGTCGGTGCTTATTAGCACTGATCACTATATTAGTGGCATTGGAATGTCAGTGGCAGTCCTCACCTAATTTTTTTACTGGATATGTTTTATAGCAAAAAGTAAAAAACATTGTTTTTTTTTTTTTTTTTTTTTCTTTCAAAATTCAGTCTTTTTTTGTTTATAGCAGAAAAATAAATAACACAGAGGTAATAAAATACCAACGAAAGAAAGCTCTATCTGTGGGGGGGGAAAAAAGCCATTAATTTATGTACAGTGTTGCATGACTGCGCAGTTGTCAGTTAAAGTAACGCAGCACCGTATCACTAAAAATGTCCTGGTCAGAAAGGGGGATAAATCCTCTAGAAGGCAAGTGGATAATGCATCTAGGCATCTTCTCGAATAGTAGTTCTGGACACCACTTTAAGGGTTTTCAAATTAAATTAGACTCAATGGTACGAAATGATTTTTCTGTGAACGACTAAACAAAAATATAAACTGTCTATGTCCATCTTTAGAATGAGGGGATGCCAAATTTTGGCACGTGATTGCGAATTTATCCTGGTGTGACGTCCTACTGAATAAACAGACTTTGCTTTTTAGTTTAAAGTAAACTTGTGCTTTGACCATGCAGGGCATAGCAGTGGGTTCACTTAACTGCTGTTATCCTTGGTTCCATATTACAAATTTGGAACCCTTGATAAAGAGGGAGAAACCAAAATTATAGAGAATGTATGTATGTGTGTTTTTTTTTTTTTTCTTTTCCAAAAGATAGTGTCAACATGAGCAGCCTAATGTAAAAAATCTTTGAGTGGGTTTATAGTCTCCTTTTTTTTAATTTATGGATTATAATTATATATGTTGTGATAGGTCGATTACATGTGCAAGTTATGCTTCTTGTCTATTAGTGGTGCACAATAATGTGATTTTCTGTTGATTGTGCAAGTCCATCAGCCAAAACAGACTGTTTCCTTTTAACTAACTAGAAAATATGTTCTTACACTACAAATGAGCTATTTTGCCCCAGTGGGAATCCAATGTGGCTTAAACCAGCTTCGTGTTCAGAGAAGATTATGGTAAAAAAAGATGCAAAATTATATAGCCATAATAAATTGTTTTGGTTGTAAAGGTTTCCTTTCCTGAATAGTAGTGTGCCACTGTTACCCGGTGGTACTACTGGTTATGTGTCATTTTGCTAAATGGTGGTTTACCCAAGTGGTGTAATTGATCAAATAATAGCTTAATGAAACGGCTATGGTAATCGGGTAGGGCGTTCACTCAAACAGAGCAACTATTATTCTGTGGTGTATAGGATAGTTAAAAGGAAAGGTTTGAGGATCAGGTGCCCCTTCAGTGATATGAAGCCCCCATTCACATACACCTACCTGACACCTCATGTAAGTAGCTATAAAGGTGATAGGTGCTGTAACCATGCCCTGAAATAAGACTCTTATGGGATGTCTTATTTGTAAATGCAAAGGCAGACCAGAAACAGATACAACCACTTTGCTCCTTTTTATAGGCAGCCCCTAATTATACTTGGAGTTTTGTTGTAAAATATTTGCTACTTTCTGTGCTTTTTATACGGTTTGTGTTTTTTTTGCTTTTTTGTTTTTTCTTGGGGGGGGGGGGGTAGGCTTTTTGTCAGGTATTATACATTGTTTACAATAAAAAAACTTAATTTTCTTTATGCTTGCTCATTCTTAGATGGACTTAATTCCTCTGATATCTGGGCCTCCTCCGGAGGTATTGGACAAGGCAGTTATGGCTCCATTCTCAGCGGCTCTCAGGCTTCTCTTTCCCAGCCCTCAGGTTTCAGTGGTCTGCATGCCCACGAACGAATAGTAAGCACTGACCAAACAGCACATTTTTTTTAGGAGTAATTATGTTGGTATTTTGCTTCCAAATATGGGCTAAATATCTGATATTTTATTTTTATTAGGATATAACATAATGTGTGAACAGTACCAATAATTAAAGGTCTTGCAATGATACAACAATTTATATTTAAAAAAAAAATATATACAGTATTTTGCTTAAAACAATGTATTCATTGATGTTTAGATGTATAGCAGTGTAAATTGCCATAATTCACATAAACCATGTATATCATGTCACTGTATTTATTTTTTATATAAAAATCCTTAAGTACCGTTTTTCCTGCAGCACTGTTGCATGGTCACATGATTTTTTCCCTGTTCTTTGGCATCTGAAGAGAAAGATCCTTGGGATGGCTTCTATTACTACAGTATGAGTGTGTTTGCACGGCCCTGATTGGTGCTGTGCCAGTCACATGACTAAATAATGAAGAGCAATTCAAATTAAATTATAAATATCAAAATCTGTTTTATAGCTCCCTATAAATCTTTATTGAACATCATCAAATGTGCAATTTTTTTTTTTTGTCCATTAAAATGGCATAGGCAAAGTCAAAGATAATTGACACTAGCTTTTGCTTTGTTCAGACGTCATCTGCATCCAAGGTTCTTTAACTTTGCTGGTATGCGCAAATACCTATGATGTATTCAACACTAGTTTTTGTTAAAACAAAGCTTTTTTTTTTTTTTTTTTTGAGTTTCTTAGTGAATGTAATCAATCACATACTATATCACATCTTCATGTGGTGTTTAGCAATAGGAGGGCCAGGAGGTGGAGGGAGGGGAGTGTCATTTACCACTGTGTATACACCATCATGTGTGACTCTCTAGTCACATGGGCTGCACAGATAAGAAATAGGAGGAAATGAAGAGCCTAGAACTGAGCATGCTCAGTAGAAGACTCCAGCTGATCTACACAATTTCAGCCTGCAAGGGGGACAGAGTGGAAATGGGAGGGACAGCTAAAGGCAGGATATATTTCACTGTACACAAAACAAATGCTATAGTGGCTTTGTGAGTATGTGCACTCTTATATAGCATGTAATGAGAGTTTTTCATAGTCTGGGCTTAATGACATAAGCAAACTTACATATTCACCAGCACACTACGGATCTCCAATATGGTCCAAAAGGTTTTATTCCAAAAAGATTACATCACAAAAGAGTGCAACATTTCGGAGCCATGCAGGACCCCTTCGTCAGGCATGGCATGGTGTGCTGGCGAATATGTACGTTTTGCTTATGATGTTTCAAGTCAAAGTTAGTAGTCGCTACAGCACCCTCTATTGATGAGCTGTACTTCCAGGAATGTGTGCAAAAGGAATATAGTTATGGGCTTAATGACATTTCATATGTCCTTTTTTATATGTGTTAGCGTTGTCATTCTTCTCTTCCCAGGGGTTTCCAGTGCATTCCAGTGAGGTGAACCCAGCTGTATCAAGTTTCCCTTCTGGTGCACAGTATGGAGTCTCTACGCACACCCCCCCCATTAGTAGTGGAGACACAATGATAGGTATGCAGTTTAGCATGTTGTCCATTCTATTGGCAATCTCATTATATATAAACCTGCACAGTTTAATGCTCTAGTAGCTGCTATCCTATACATTTTTGTACAGATTCCAGATTATGGTGTGTGCGTGTTTTTTTGTCCTATGTTGGAATTGTAAGCTTTGGAACGCACATTGCTCTCTTCTGGGTGTGGGTTCCAAAGTGATAGAAAGTAATAAAGTACAAGGTTTTGCATAAAATAAGAAATGAACTGGAAGAAATGCATTTGTTCCACTTTGACTTATATAAGTTTATTTCTGCATTTAATTCTTGCAGTTAATTTGAGGTTAAATTAAATTGAGGGAATAGCATGCTAGAGAGATATAATAATCTGTAACATTCTACTGAACATTGTAAAAATAAAATTGAAGTATTTACAAAATATATAAATGTGTAGTTTGACAAAAACATTCGCATTTAAAAATAAATATGAACAGCTCCTCATTCTCTGTCTGTGATAGAATAATATTGATGTCTGGTTAACACTTCACATGGTCATACCATAAGCTGCTTGAAGGTGTAGATAAATTTTACTTTTTTTTTTCCTTTTTAAATGTAGGAAACCGAGGGAATACCACTGGCAGCTCAGGAGATGCACTTGGAAAAGCTTTAGCTTCTGTAAGACCCTTTATCTTTTATTGTATGTACAGCTGAACTTTATATCCAGTTAATGTAAAAGATGTTTATAGAGAGCACACTGCAATAATTATATAAAACCAATGTAAAGAAAAACTTAACTAGCTATCTGCCATCTGCATGACCACAAAGGATCATAATCCACAATGGTCATACAGAAACCTTTCTGGCATATGTCCGCATATTCCGCATGATGTTTAGATGTTGGTTGCATTTATTATTGCAGCTTCATTTGTTAAAATTGCACGATAGCGTTGTTGCCAGCACTCAGGTTACACCTTTTAGTTTATACAAAAAATTAAGCATGAATTCTGAGTGATTCTATTTCCAATTTTGATGAATGAGACCTATTGTTTCTTGTGGACATAACACTTGAACCTTTTTAATTCTTTTCTTTGTAGATTTATTCTCCAGATCATTCCAGCACAAACTTTTCCTCTAGCCCTTCAACACCTGTGGGGTCACCTCAGGGAATGACAGGTCTGAGATTTTTAGATTTTTTTTTTTTTTTTCCATGTGTTTGTATTTAGTATCAGAACTATTTTTCATTATACACATATATTAGAAATCACTAAAATTCTTTCCTTGGTACCCATTTATGGTTTTACATTTAAAGGTACTTTCATACCAGCCACTGCGTGGTGAGATGCTGATGTGAACCCTCCAGGTATGAGACAAGGCATTTTGCTTTGTTTTGTGGTGGGACTGTGCTGGAATAGCCACCCAACACAGTCCTACCACACCTGGTGTGAATCTACACTAAGCATTTTAGTACTTGAAACCGATCCTAAATTATTTTTTATTTTTTTACTAGGGTACCAGATGTTAAAACAGTCACATACATGTGCTTCAGGGAAATGTGAAATTCAGTCATCAGCTTACATTCCCTGTATTAATATGTCTGGATTTGTTTTTTAATTAGGAACAGGGCAGTGGCCCAGAGCAAGTGTGCCAGGCGCCCTGTCTCCCAGTTACGAGGGCACATTACACACATTGGTATGTATCATGAAAACTTTTTTTTCTGTTTAAGGTTTAATATTTTTAGATATTGACAATTGAAATCACTATTTTGTTTTTTGTTTTTTTTTTTTTTTTTTTTTTGGTTTTAAAGCAGAACAAGATGGAGGACCGCCTGGATGAGGCTATTCATGTTTTAAGGAGTCATGCTGTGGGACAGACTGGTTCTCTCCCTGGGGGCCATGAAGATATGCATGCGCTTTTAGGAGCAGGGGTGCTTGGAACAAACTTTTCTAGTGCAGTGCTCTCAATGGCAAATCGACACTCCATGGTTAGGATTTATTACCACTATACATCCTTACATATACTGTACATGTGTACACGCAAGGGTAAAAAAAACAAACACACAGAGCCCTATTTTGTTTATTACATGTGAAAGCTGTGTTTCATGTTTTAGAAGGGAAGCACAGGTGCTGGTATGCTTAGATTGATTGAAAACAAACTTTGCATGGCAGTCTATTATCTTGGGGGTTGAACAGCTGATAGCCTCATTCATTCTGCAGACATCGACTCTACAAATTGGGGAAAAAATATAAAAGTGTGTATATACCCAAGAGGGTGTGAAATGCTCCTGTAAAAGCTGTGGCAAATATGCAGGCTTTGGAACTCAAGCTCGAAGATCTCTCCTTCAGTGCCCCTGAAACTGTAAAGTGGTTCTACTCTTTAGTACCTACAGTACCAGAAATATCTGTTTTGGAGCCTTTGATTTCCACAGTCCGAAATTCAGATAGCAAAGTTTTTTTTTTTTTTTTTTCATTTTTCACAGAATTAAGTTTAACCGCTTACCCGCCGCCCTATAGTAGAAGTACTGCTACAGGGCGGCAGTACTGCACAAAATCACATGTATACACACGTGATTTACATTTCAGAGTAGGGGGTGCGCCGCCATTGGCGGCTACGGATGTCAATCACTGGATCCCAGCCGAAGATTCCCTGTCGGAACCCGGCGATTACCGAATAAAACTGACAGGGGAGAGACCTGCGTGTAAAAAAAAAAAAAAAAAAAAACACAGGTCTCTCTCCTGCCAGCAAGCACATGCGTCTGCGTTTTTTATTTTTTGATCTATAAACAAAAAAAAGACCTACAATTTTGGAAAAAAAACCAAAACAATATTTTGACTTCTTGCTATAAAACCTATCCGATAAAAAATAAAAAAAAATAAACAATTTCTTCATAAACTTAGGCCAAAATGTATTCTGCTACATGTCTTTGCTAAAAAAAGAAAAAATCCCAGTAAGTGTATATTAACCACGTGCTGCCTGGCCTATGGTCAAATGGCAGCCGGGCGAATACTTCGTCCCTCCAGCAGGGGGCCATATGACGTCCTTCCGGGATCGCGCTTTGCACGTGCCCGCAGGGCCACGCTGTGGCAAGATCTGTCATCCGGCCGTGTACCTCGGACACGGCCGATGACAGATCTGTGTACCGGCCCTGTTGACAATATCATGTGACCTGCTGTGACCAATCACAGCAGGTCATATGACAGTTGTACATAATGGATGGCTTCCTTTCATGCCATCCATTGTACACAAGTGTGTGTCTAGCTGTGAATGGTTAAAGAAATTCTTTGCTATAAGCAATCAAATTGTGTAAAAAAAAAAAAAAAAAAAAAATTCTGATCACTTCCCCAAAGTAGTACAATGTTTCTATGGTAACATTATACTACTTTGGTCATAGTGCAATATGAAAAAAAATCTTAAAAAAGAGAAAAAAAAGTAATAGAAATTTTTTTTTCGTACTGTCACCAGTGTCCCTGATCACCACCACACCAGTTGTATGCTGACGCTGTACTGCACTGGTGACAGTATGTAAAAAAAAAAAATTGTGAAAAAAATAATTTTTATTACTTTTCCGAAAAATTATGACAAAAAAATTACAACTTCAAAAAAACTCGCCATGCCTCTTATGAAATACAGTAGACTGTCTACTTTGCAAAAAGGGGTCATTCTGACATTTTTGGGCCTCAAAAAATTAGATTGGCTCTCAGTACTTCAGGATTGATCAATTTTCATATATATCCCATAGTTTGTAAACTCTATAACTTTCCTACAGACCAAATAATAAATACTGATTTGGGTTATTTTCACCAAAGAAATGTAGCAGAATACATCTTGGCCTAAATTTATGGAGAACAATTATTTATTTGCAAAACTTTTATAACCGAAACAAAGAAAAATGTGGGGTTTGTTTTCCAAACTTTTCAGTCTTTTTTTGTTAATTTAGCAAAAAATAAAAACCCCAAAGAAAGCTCTAGTTGTGTGAACAATATGATAAAATGTTAGTTTCGGTACAGTGTTGCATGACCGCCAATTGTCATTCAAAGTGTGGGAGCGCTGAAACCTGAAAAATGGCCTGGGCAGGAAAGGGGTAAAAAAAAGTGCCCGGTATTGAAGTGGTTAATTGGTTTACGTGAAAGTTATAGCGTCTACAAATGGTCACACACACACATGTATGTGTGTGTATATATGTGTATATGTGTGTGTGTGTGTGTGTGTGTGTGTGTGTGTGTGTGTGTGTGTGTGTGTGTATATATATATATATATATATATATACCGGAATTTAAACATTTTTTTTTTTTTATACTAGTAATAGCAGCAATCAGCGACTTATTGCGGGACTGCAGTGGGCATTCTGACACTGGGGGGGAACTGACTAACTGCCTCTGATATCCCCAGTGACACTAATACAGTGATCAGTGCTAATAAAAAGCACTGACACTGTACTAATGACACTGGGCAGGAAGGGGTTAACATCTGGAGTAATCAAAGGGTTAACCTTGTTCTGTGTGTTTGTTTTTTTTTACAAAGCAGCGTGTCTATGCTGACAGGAGGGAGACCTGTGTTTTACACATGAGTCTCTCCCCCATCAGCTTTCACTTACTCCCGGCCAGGACCCAGTGATTGTCATCCCCAGCAGCCAATAGCGGCGTGGGTAGGGTGGCACGTACATGCGTGTGCACCCCCCTACCCAGAAATGCAAATCGCACATATGTAATTTTGCGCAGCCCGTGTTGCCCTGTAGCAGTACATCTGATGTAGGGCAGTGGGTAAGCGATTACCCAGACCCCTTTTGACTCTTTTGAATTTACATTTGTATTACCAGAAGAAATGTAATTTGTACTCTTAACTTCTTTTGATAATTATTTAACCAGCCTTGTTGTTTAGGCTACAAGTCAAGCAGAAGATGGGTTACCAAATGCGCCCAGTATGCTTCACAACCCAATCACGCTACCCATACAGCAAGGATCTCTGCCTGATCTTACCAGACAACCAGATTCCTACAGTGGTAAGCATGAAAAGCGAGATTATGAAGTGTTCGAACAAAAATATCTTATTCAATATCCTTTCTGGAGAAATTTGTCTCAAAATATATTGGATTGTTCAGATTTGGTTCTAATGATTTATACATGGTATACCTTAAAACAAGCTATTGCATTAAAATGGGTTTCTACATGGCTAAATACACGCAAACTTTTATTTACCAAAATATTTATTATTTTGTACCCTACTTTGACTTGGTATCAGAAATTGGGGAGAGAGGAGCAGCTCTCTTAGAAGCCCCGGGTCATAGGTTTCCAAGCTGTATTGCTTAACTGCATTAGAGAAATTCAGGTCACTAGTCTAGCTCTGCTGTCCGTGGCAAGTCTTAGGATTGAATAGACAGAAATACATATACTATGACAAGTGAAACAGCTTTCATATGTGTTTTAACTGTGTGTTTAGTGGTTTCCTGACTACAAACAGTATGCTTTTAGGGTGCATTCAGCTTGCAATTAAGTTCAGGTTATAATGTTTTTGACCTGCATTTGCCCCCTTTGAGCTGCTTTTGCTCTCCGATTGATATGTACTGAGTTCTGATGCAACAAGAGCCCATGTAAACATACTTTAAAATGAGCATCTTTACATAGATGAACTCATTCTAGTGCTCTGTTAACTTCTCCTCCTCCAGCTTTTGTCTAAAAAAAACTTTATTGGGTATATAGCACTGAGCAATGCATCGAAGCCTGGTTTTTCATGCAATGTACAGTTTACCACCTTGTCCAGTGTGTAAGGGTAGGAAGGCTAGGAAAAGAATGTAAATAAAGAATCCAGGTATATATTTAAAAATTGTAATTTTGACATTTGTGTTGGTGTTAGCCTGAATTATTTAAGTTCTGTTATAATACAAAAATAGGCCACAGGCCAGTCAAAAGATATACAGTCAAGTCAAAATAAATAAAAAAAAGACATTAAAACAATTTCATGGCACCACCTGATTGACCGACATGAAAATAGGCAAGCAACCTTAGATTTCAAGGAATACGTTGTGTAATTCTGACATACTATCACCTCCTTAAAGGAATATTTGCTGCAACCATTTTACATGGGCAATTTAAAAGTTCTCAAACTGAAGTGTGTCCCAATCCAAAAAAAAATGAAAGAAAGGGGGGAATGGAAAAGAGCCATGGAGAGGACAGAACAGCTGAGACTGCCAGCCAGACTCAATGGCATGTCTAGCCCAACGTAAGGGGCTGAAGACTGAAGTTGTTTTTAACCCTTGGTGCCCATCAAAAGAAAATGTCATTTTACAAACTACTCGCTTATTTCTGGACCTATCTTCCTGAAGCACCTGATATACATAGGTGGAGAATTTATCATAGCATACAGTGAAAGATCTAGTGATCGACTGGTAACCAGAGTGATCAGGTAGTTTAGGAGCTTAAAACAGCCCTGCCAACATTTCAAAAAGCTGAAACTACTTGCCTCGCCCATTACTCATGCTACCAAATTTTCCTAAAATGAAGAGAGCTTACTGAAAGTTCTTACAAGGCACATATAATGGAAAGGAAGTGCAGTGCTATAGTGAATAAACGGTGACATGGAAAAAAATTTATGACCTAAAAAAAGGTGACTTGCGTGAGCAAATAATAAGTGCATAATTATCAATGTAATATTAGCAATCAATCTCTATACAGCGGCGGACTGACCATTTGGAAACTCAGGCACTGCCCGAGGGCCCGGGGTCAGTAGGGGGGGCCCCATGAGATGCCCCTGGTACCTTTTCATAGGCTTTTTTGAGTTTGGGCAAGGACACAGGGGCCCCATGATCCCCTATTGCCCGGGGGCCCTGAGTTGTCAGTCCGCCCCTGTCTCTATAGTGTCCAGAAATTGTAAATACAGTGGGGCAAAAAAGTATTTAGTCAGCCACCAATTGTGCAAGTTTTCCCACTTAAAAAGATGAGAGAGGCCTGTAATTGGCATCATAGGTAGACCTCAACTATGAGAGACAAAATGAGAAAAAAAATCCAGACAATCACATTGGCTGATTTGGAAAGAATTTATTTGCAAATTATGGTGGAAAATAAGTATTTGGTCAATATCAAAAGTTCATCTCAATACTTTGTTATATATCCTTTGTTGGCAATGACAGAGGTCAAACGTTTCCTGTAAGTCTTCACAAGGTTGGCACACACTGTTGCTGGTATGTTGGCCCATTCCTCCATGCAGATCTCCTCTAGAGAAGTGATGCTTTGGGGCTGTCGCTGGGCAACACGGACTTTCAACTCCCTCCAAAGGTTTTCTATGGGGTTGAGATCTGGAGACTGGCTAGGCCACTCCAGGACCTTGACATGCTTCTTACGAAGCCACTCCTTCGTTGCCCGGGCGGTATGTTTGGGATCATTGTCATGTTGGAAGACCCAGCCACGTTTCATATTCAATGCCCTTGCTGATGGAAGGAGGTTTGCACTCAAAATCTCACGATACATGGCCCCATTCATTCTGTCCTGTACATGGATCAGTCATCCTGGTCCCTTTGCGGAGAAACAGCCCCAAAGCATGATGTTGCCACCCCCATACTTCACAGTAGGTATGGTGTTCTTTGGATGCAACTCAGCATTCTCTCTCCTCCAAACATGACGAGTTGCGTTTCTACCAAACCGTTCTGTTTTGGTTTCCTCTGACCATATGACATTCTCCCAATCCTCTTCTGGATCATCCAAATGCTCTCTAGCAAACTTCAGACGGACCCGGACATGTACTGGCTTAAGCAGGAGGACACGTCTGGCACTGCAGGATCTGAGTCCCTGGCGGCGTAGTGTATTACTGATGGTAGCCTTTGTTACGTTGGTCCCAGCTCTCTGCAGGTCATTCACTAGGTCCCCCCGTGTGGTCCTGGGATTTTTGCTCACCGTTCTCGTGATCATTTTGACCCCGCGGGGTGAGATCTTGCGTGGAGCCCCAGATCGAGGGAGATTATCAGTGGTCTTGTACGTCTTCCATTTTCTAATTATTGCTCCCACAGTTGATTTGTTCACACCAAGCTGCTTGCCTATTGCAGATTCAGTCTTCCCAGCCTGGTGCAGGTCTACAATTTTGTTTCTGGTGTCCTTCGACAGCTCTTTGGTCTTCACCATAGTGGAGTTTGGAGTGTGACTGTTTGAGGTTGTGGACAGGTGTCTTTTATACTGATAACAAGTTCAAACAGGTGCCATTGATACATGGTAATGAGTGCAGGACAGAGGAGCCTCTTAAAGAAGAAGGTACAGGTCTGTGAGAGCCAGAAATCTTGCTTGTTTGTAGGTGACCAAATACTTATTTTCCACCATAATTTGCAAATAAATTCTTTCCAAATCAGCCAATGTGATTGTCTGGATTTTGTTTTCTCATTTTGTCTCCCATAGTTGAGGTCTACCTATGATGCCAATTACAGGCCTCTCTCATCTTTTTAAGTGGGAGAACTTGCACAATTGGTGGCTGACTAAATACTTTTTTGCCCCACTGTAAACGTGACATCAAGTGGTGGGTGAATCCTTGACAATTCTTCCTCCTAATGCACACAAAAAAAATGTGCATTCAAAATAGAAACTCCTCCAGCAGGTAAGCCGTATCCACCGCCAGCAAAGGTACAATGGTGTACACCGCTTACATTCAATAGAAACAGTTGGTTCCCCCAAAAAGTGGCTGTCACATGTTATTCACTATAGCGCTGCACTTCCTTTCCATTATATGTTTGAGGATAAAGTGGGTTGTCCTTTTTGTGCTAGCAGCTGATGCAATTTCTCCCCTGGCGCTCACTACATTCTTCTTTTTACTTATCAGGCACAGTTCTGGGTTTATTGGATGCCTGGCCCCATGCTGCACTGTGTAGTTCCTTCCTCCTGTCCCTATGGCACTACTGTATCCTGCATGGGATAAGTAAATATAAATAGGATAGGTAGATATAAATGTAGAGTGATCCCCTGTTCAATGGTGCTAACAACCATGCTAAGGGGATTTTGTTTTTACTCCTACCGACATTGGGGGATTTATTACTCGTGACTTACCATCGGCGTAGGGGCATTATTTACTCTCAATGACCTCTGTGTAGGAGCATATTTTACTACTGGCCAGCAGTCTGCTGGACTGGGATCTGGCTGCTTATTTAAAAAGTTTTAGACCCATGCATTAATGGCTCTTAACATTGATCTACTGCACTGCTATCTATCAATAGGCAGCAACAAAACCACAAAATCCCTGCTGGTGCAAGGTATACCTCAGGAGGAGCTTACAGATCCAGACTTTCCCCAGTCCTGACACATGCAATCCGTATCTTTAAAATAAAAAAAAAAAAAGTCCATGTAGCCTTGTGTGTGATTCGAGGTTTATTGTGTAAATCGAGTTTACAAGCTAATGGATATCAAGAGCATATATAAAAACAAAGAAAAACCAAAACTTTACCAACACTTTAAATATGGAACGCAATTAATCTGTTAATTCGGGAAATGATCAGTCCTTATATAATTTGCAGGGCAAGCTATGGGGAAGGGTGTGACAATATTCTATAACTTTTGGCATTAAAGATTCAGTCCACCAAAAAGTGATATTCAGTTTTTAGTAAATTTTTCACTCCTGTGTTTGCGCACTGATGTGGAAAATTTTAAATCTGGAAATAATCTCCCTATCGCCGAATGGTGGATGGCTTACACCCACGGGTCCTTTAAAGAATTGAGCTCTGTCATTTCAAAGCCATTGTTTCTCATTTTTAGGAACTCTTTAATGACTGGCATAGTACCACTGGATTGGTGTAAGGCCAATGTGGTGCCTATATTTTTACCAAGTAATTATAGACCTGTTAGTTTAACTTCTATAGTTGGGAAGATACTGGAGAGTTTAATAAAAGACCCACATATATGAGTTTACAAAAAGAACATTGGGGAACTGGAGGAAGGGCAACCAAACTGATAAGAGGCATGGAGGAGCTCAGTTATGAGGAAAGATTAGAGGAACTGAATTTATTCTCTCTTGAGAAGAGATTAACCTCCCTAGCGGTATGATTATTTCCGATTTTTGGTGCTGAAAGCGGTACCCTTATTCTGCATGGAAATATGTAGTTTTTTTATTGTAGGCTGTAATATTTAGGAATAACTCGCTGAAATCTGTCCGAACAAGAGTCTATTAAACATCCCGGGTATGATCAAATTTGAAACACAAAATCATAAATTATAATTTAATAAATAATCATAAAAAATAATATAATATTACATTTAATTCAATAATATAATCAAACCAAAAACACTGAAATTTTAAATATAGCGCCAAGTTCGCACATTGCTGAGCAAAGTCACAAAATTGTTTTCAGTGTCTGATGACGATTTTCCCCCACGAATCATTATCACTCAATTCTGCAAGTGGTTCTGATTTACTATCGCTGTTCTCTAGCTTATCTAAACCCGCTTTTGACCTAAAGGGACGCTTTTTGGATGCCATGGACTTTTCTAAGTTTCCAGGCAGAAAGAACATTCAAAATGCAGACAGGGGACAGGACAGAGCACTAGGGACAAAATGTATGTGAAATAGGTTGAAACAGCAATGTTTTACTATGAAAAATCGTTTTGAAAAAAATGACATTTTTTTAAAATTTTCAAATTTCCCGCCGGCGCCCGTATGTCCCGACGTCACAGGGACCGGAACACAGGAGCCGGATGCCGGCATCTGCCGGAGGAGATGGCCGGGGGCGCTGCAGGGGACACACCGCGGGAGCGAAGGACAAGGTAAGTGCTGCAGGGACTCCCTATGCAGCGCTGCATGGTAAGCCCGAGTGTAGCTCGGGGTTACCGCTTTTGGTATAGAAATTTTACCCCGAGCTACACTCGGGAATACCGTTAGGGAGGTTAAGGGGGGGGTATGATCAACATGTATAAATACATCAGTGGTTCATATAGTGAACTCAGTGTAGAGTTATTCACCCTGAGGTCATCACAGAGGACAAGGGGGCACTCTTTGAGTCTGGAGGAAAAGATTTAATCTCCAAATACGGAAAGGTTTCTTCACAGTAAGAGCTGTGAAAATGTGGAATAGACTCCATGAAGAGTTGGTTCTGGTCAGCTCAGTGGATTGCTTTAAAAAAAGCCTGGATTATTTCCTAGATACACATAATATAACTGGATAGTAACATTTATAGGTAACGTTGACCGAGGGAATATCCGATTTGCCTCTCGGGATCAAGAAGGAATTTTTTTCCCCTGCAGGAGCAAATTGCATCATGCTTTGCTGGGGTTTTTTTTTTTTGTTTGTTTTTTTTTTTTTTGCCTTCCTCTGAATCACCTGTGGGTCTGGGATTACAACTTTTTTTTTTTTTTGGAGTCAAACTAGATGGACTTTTGTCTTGTTTCAGCCAGACTAACTATGTAACTATCAGCAAGGATCCATATTAGTGCCATTTAATAGGTGCCTTGAGAATTCATTGTGTATTCACTACCTGGAAAGTTTTATTTTAGATACTAAAATTACAAAAGAACAGTAGGTTATAAATATTGAGCAATTCAACTTTGAACAATATCATGGCTTTCTTCCAGGTTGTTTTTTAACTTCTTGCCAACCAGCCACTGTAGAAATGCGGTGGCAGATCAGCACGGCTGGGCAAAACCACGTTTTTAAACGTGCGTTTGCAAAACAGGTAGGGGGCGTGCTCCACCCGTCCTGCCGATCGCGGGTGTCAGTCGCCGGGTCACGGCCAGTCATTACCTACCATGTCCCGGCGATTAGCGGCAATCACTGACAGAGAGGACAGATGCAGTGTTTACACTGCAGCTGTGCTTTCTGTCAGTCCCCTGTCAGCTCCTGACATGCTGATCCGGAGAGAAGAGTTTATCTCTCCGGATCAGCATGTTCCCCTGCAGTACATACCCCTGCCCCCTAGTAAAACACTCCCCTCACAGTTAACCCTTTCAGTAAATAAAAGTTAACCCCTTCCTCGCCAGTGCCATTAGTACAGTGTCAGTGTTTTGTTTTTTTGTTTTTTTTTTTTTTTTTTTTGCATTGATCACTGTATTGGTGTCACTGGGAATGTCAGTGACCCCAAGTCAGTTCCCCCCCAGTGTCAGAATGTCCGCTGCAGTCCCGCCATAAGTCACTGATCGCCGCCATTATTAGTATAAAAAAAAATTAAATCCCAGTATCTTTCCTGCCATTTGTAAACGCTATAACTTTCACATAAACCAATTAATTTACACGTATTGGGGTTTTTTTTTTTTTTTTTTTTAGCAAAGACGTCGCAGAATACATTTTGGCAGAAATTTTTACCTTTTTTTTTTACTGGACATGTTTTATGGCAAAAAGTCCAAAATTTTAGTTTTTTTTTTTTTTTTTTTTTTTTTTTTACCTCAAAATCGTCAGCCTTTTTTTTTTTTTTTTTTTTTTTTATAGCGCAAAAAAATAAAAAAAAAAAAACCGCACAGGCGATCAAATGCCACCGAAAGAAAGCTCAATTTGTGCGGAAAAAAAGGATGTAAATTTAATTTATGTACCGTATTTCATGACCGCGCAATTGTCCGTTAAACTTACGCAGCGCTGTATAGCAAAAAAATGGCATAAATTGCAGTATCTATACCATAGTTTTAGATGCTATAACTTTCACACAATGCAATCAATATAAACTCATTGGGATTTTGTTTTACCAAAAACATGTAGCAGAATACGTTTTGGCCTAAATTTATAACCAACTTTGAGTTTACTATATATTTTTTATAGCTGAAAGTAAAAAATATCATTTTTCCTCAACATTTTTGGTCTTTTTTTGTTTATAGCGTGAAAAATAAAAAGCTCACAGGTGATCAAATACCACACGAAAGAAAGCTCTATTTGTGTGAAAAAAGGGACGTAAATTTTGTTTGGGTGCAGCATTGCATGACCGCGCAATTATCAGTTGAATTAGTGCAGCGCCGAGTAGCAAAAAGAGGCCTGGTCATTAAGGGGGGTAAATCCTCAGGAGGGCAAGTAGTTAAACTGTGGGTCTGTATTACAAGACTTTTATTTAGGATCCTTGCAGATGTATGATAGGGCTACCTAAGTGAATTCAGTCGTGTGTCACCAGGTTGATGATGATGCAAATCATGGAGGCCGAGCCATCTGTTGAAAGGTTAATCAGAGATTGCATACTCACATAAGCTGTTAGGTTTGGTCTACCTCAAGAAAATGTAATAACTAATATTATAGTTTACCAACTGATGTTTTTGGGTCTAGGAGAGTGGGCATATTATTTTGGATATCTTTAGGCATTTTGTTTTACACTGTATATTGGAAATATGAAGATACTGAATCTCTTTATCTTTTTGACTGCAGGACTCCCAGCAGTGGGCAGGACTGTTGTGTCATCTGCGGTATCAGAAATTAAAAGGGAAAATAAAGAAGACGAAGAGAATCGGTCAGTGGCTGATTTGTCAGAGGATGATAAGAAAGAGTCTAAACAACAGAGAAGCCGGACACGCTGCTCAGTGAACAGGTCTCATTAAGTGGGAGGGAAGCATGCACTCCAGGGTCAATGGGTATTATGAATGGGCATTTTTCCACCTAGTAGGAGCTGGCCTAAAGAAATTTGTCTGGAATAAGAAAAAAAAAAAATTTAAACACAGTATTATACAAGATGTTTAAAATACTAATGTATGCCACCTCTGTTGCACCTAATCTTTGTGGTCTTGCAGAGCTAGAAGTGCATTAACCTCCTCACCCCGCCACCCCCCCAATCCTGAAACATTGCTAGTGTCCCTTCAGAGATGTAGGAGCACACTAGTTATGTGGTGGCTGTAGGGTAGACGAGGCACAGGCTCCTAGAAATGTCAGATGAAGATTCTGTCAGCACTTCTAGCTGAAGACAGAGCAAAGAATGGCTATAACAGAAGTTACTTTGGTAAGAAAATGTCTGTTTTTTAAAAGTGGCATAGTTTCATTAAATTTCATAGCAGTAGCACTGATGATTTCTAGGGTAGGACCACCACTAATGCATAGTATATCTCAACTCCACCTCCCCTCCACAGTCAAGATGAAGATGATGATGAGGAGGATGATAACCTTCCTCCAGAACAAAAAGCTGAGCGTGAGAAGGAGAGGCGAGTGGCCAACAATGCCAGGGAACGACTTCGAGTCAGAGATATCAACGAAGCATTTAAAGAGCTGGGGCGGATGTGCCAGCTGCATCTTAACAGTGAGAAGCCACAGACCAAGCTCCTGATTCTGCACCAGGCCGTCTCTGTCATCCTGAGCCTGGAGCAGCAAGTGCGAGGTGAGCGGGACCTGCTGTGAAGTGGTGGGGCATGGATCTGTCTGTCTATTCCTCCCTCCTCCTCTGCCCTCCACGAATGAGATATACATGCAGAGTACCCCTTCTAACTTGGTCTCCTGCTTTGGGGCATTGCATGTATACTCTCTTCTCCCATTCCTTGCTTGCTAGTGTTTTGCATTCCCTTTTTTTTTTATCCAGAAGGGACACATTTAGTTAAAACGCCATTGGTTTTGAGGGAAAAAAGAATTGGCTTTGTCCATTTGCTATTTGAGGCAGTATGTTTCCCTTTAGTGTATGAGAGGGATATATACCATTTAAAAGTCTCACATTTTATTGTAAGATGGGAGTTTATCATGAATAATTAAAGTACCTAACCCAACGCTTCATACCCAATACACTACAAATAATTAGGTGGATGGAAATGGGTTATACTAACCTTTTGCAGCTCTGATCCAAGGATCCAGTAGATACTTTGTCAGAGGAGAATTTATCATGACTAGGCTACCTGATATACCTTACCCAAAAATTCATACCTGACCATACCAGACCCTTAAGTGGATATAAATTAATTTATACTGACCGTTTACAACTCTAAAGTGAGGATCGAGCAGTGTTCTTCCCCGCCAAAATCTCTCAGTCAGCTGTGTGAGCAGTAAGTAGACAAAATCACTAAAAAAACAGATCTGGGCCCTATATAAATATAAGGGCTACAAGGGTAAGTATGATTTTACACATTGGCTTTCTGATATGCTCCACTTGAAACAAAATGAATAGTTTGGGTTAGCCTCTTCTTTAAGGTAGAGTGAGTGTCTAAAAAGTAGATGTTTTAACACGTGTTTGTAACTGGCTGTGCATGCTAAATCTACTCATTCTCAAAATATGCATCCATTTCTGTGCAAACCTTTTCATCCATATCTAAATATTACTGGTGAGGATTATGGATATCACCACTGCTATTCTGACTGCCCATTAAAATTAGTGGGTATGGTTCAGTCTGTGCTTTGCTCTTCTTGCATCAGTTTCTTTTACACGCGACTTCACATGTGACTTTCCTTTTCTGTGTCGTCTTCTTACTCCCCATGCTACCATCTTTTATTTTCTACAGACAGTTCTCCAAACCCTACCTCCTCCAGTCCTTGCATCCTCTCCCCCCTCCCACACACTGCCCAGTTGGCTTTGCACTCACTGCTCATTTTAATATGGCAGCTGAGGGACCTGTGGGTCTGGTAGTGCTTCTGTTACATGCTGCACCAGCTCTGTACTCTGTGTATACAGATGCAGTATAATTTTAGATTTACTTTGAACTAATTTGGCCTTTTTTGCTGTCAGGGTATTGATTCTGATTGACAAGGATCATTTCTAAATGTTCATACTTTTAGACAGGCATAGGCAAATAATGTAAACCTCTCCTCTTGTAATCACTACTTTCATTACTCCAAGGTTAAATCTCACATAGACAACAAAATTGATTGTATTAAAGCAATCATATTAATTATTTAAAAATATTTTTAGTTTTTCAGTCTGAGAATCCTCATCATAATGCTAAACGTTTTGTTTGGGTGGGGTGGGTGGTGGTGTGTGTGCATTTGTGTGTGTGTGTTGTATGTGTGTGTGTGTGTGTGTATATACATTAAATTAAAAATTGGAATTATTGATATAAAAATAATTTGGACAATGAAAACCATTTAGTCTGCCTTAACCCTTTATAGTGGTTCACTACATTAACTGTTGCTTGCTTTATGTTTGACTTCTATCTCATTGCCAAAGAAAATACATTACTTATCTAGAAATTGACTGGTATAAATAATGCAGAGAAATCTGAGCAAATGGTGCTTCCAGTTCCTTATACAGGGCTTTCCCATCAGAAAAAAAAGTTATACTGGCTGCTACTTACTTTTGATACATTTTTTTGTTGTTTTTAAACAGCCAGTCTTATTACTTCATTATCACCCATGTTATATTGTGGTGTTACTCTGAAATGTCAGATTTGCATCTTCTAAACCAGCAGCTGTTTTCCGAAAGTTCTAAACTTTTTCAGCTAGCAGGAACTGTCTAAAAGAACTGTCTTACCTAATACAATAAGAGACATTTAGGGTCTATGTATAAAAAAGCTTTAGTGAATGTGACACACATCCGCTCAGTTCCAACAAAACTTGTTGTATTCATTGTTTGTAAAATTATCTAGTATGATGGTAACCGCCATCTTGTGGTCATTATATGGTATTTGTTTTAAAATACTCCAATCCGAAAAACAAATAAACATTTTGGCCACTAGATGGAGATTGTGATAATGCAAGATAGCCCAAAATATGGCACCTTATGCTGGATGTGTGTCACATTTTTTTCAGCAAACTTTTTTTTTTTTTTTTTTGTACATGGAACCCTTTATTGTCCTAACCTTGTTTCTTAACAAATAGTGCCCTTCCCCACTATTTGCACTTAATTACACAAAACCTTATTTTGTAATTCCCCAAAAACATCTGCTCCACATAGGAGCTTTACATGTTTGATTTCCTTTTAAGTACAAAATACCTACCTATTATGTTTTTGACCCTGTAAAAGGGATGTGACCATTTTCCAAATGCCTATTGTGATTGGGAATGTTTTATTACTTCTTCAGTTTCCAACTACCATAATCCTAAACTTTTCAGACATTAAACCTCTTTAGTGCAATATTGTGCCTCTATTCTGGCTTGTAATTGGTAGCAAAATATTAGTACATGGCTCAGAATAATATATTTTCCCCAAAAGATCCATTTATAACCATATATAAAAAATGTTTCTTGGCCACATTAGGATGATACTGTAACATTAAGGGTTTTTCTTTTTCTTTTTTTTCACGTGATACATTGCAGAATGGTCTGATATTTTGTAGCTAGATAAATGGTTCAGAATATAGGCATTTTATGTAGAAAGAAGTATGCTCATAGGCAGAGGTGTTGGGCTCTATTTATATTCAGGCAAAACAGAAGTACCGTAATTCCTTCTGCAATTTAAAAAAACTGTTAAACGAAAATGGTATCATGGGACTGCTTAGAGTATTTCATCCTTAGATCTCACAGGAAAGATGTTCTTCACAAATTTTAGGTGGTGAAATATTTGGAGACTGAGCCACAAAAATATCCCTGGACTATTGTGTCCTTACAAAAGTAAACCTTTAACGCCTTACATTTGCACAATAGTCAAGTTCCAGATTGGCATCTATTTTGTTAATATTTATTGCAGGCACTTACCAATGTAGAGGCAAATAGAGTGAAATTCTGTTTCACTATGTGCTAAACTTCAACCAGTTCAATAAAATGGCTTGCCTCCCTAATTTTTTTTTTTTTTTTTTGTGACATTACAAGCCGCCTTTGGGGTTGTTCCTTTTTCTTTGCTGATCTAGTAGTTCTCTGAGAACTTTAATTGACTGAATAGATTAGGTTAATCTGTACTGTAGTCCCTAAAACCCATGCTAGTAGAAGTGGATGTTCTTGATACCCAAACTACATAAGCATGTATACGTTATCTTATGTAGGCAGGATGGCTTCAGTTGGAAACACCTAACATTTTCTTGCCTGCATATAGAAAGAGAATATCAACAGCACTGCCTGTCTGTGTGTGTGTGTGTGTGTGTGTGTGTGTGTGTGTGTCATTTGGTACCCCTGGTAATGAAAGGTTTATTGGGGCCCTGAGCTAACCCCTCCCCCCTTTAACCATTCACTTTCCTGGGGTCCAACAGCGGAGGAAGCATTAAGGAGGAAAACACTTTGGAGGACAAGGACATGCGAGATCGTGAGAGGAGGATGTCAAACAACGCGCGAGAAAGAGTGCGTGTCCGTGATATCAATGAGGCTTTCAAGGAGTTGGGCCGCATGGTGCAGATGCATTTAAAAGCAGACAAAGCCCAGACCAAGCTCATCATCCTACAACAGGCCGTGCAGGTCATTATGAGCCTGGAGCAGCAAGTGCGAGGTATCCTCCACTAAAATCCACAACTTCTATACTCCAGTTAATTTTTCTTTCTTCTTATTCTGAATCCATTTAACCAAGTCACTTTTCCACTTGACCCATCTTTCATAGCTCCTGAATTACAGTAAAACAACCATACTCTATCACCTGTCCTACTAAAACATTTTCTACTTATCTCAAAACACATCTAATCGACAAACTGTAGCAGCAAAGATGCAGGTTTTTACCGTGGTTTCCATATACCAGTTGAAAAAAAATTCTAATTATTTATCATACATTGAGGAACACAGTAAAAATTTTTACATTTGGGTTATGTGCTGCAGCCTACAGGAGCTTTGGGCACTGGCAAATAGTAAAATAATTGAAGGCCTGGCCCCATATAACACTACCCCTAACAAAACCGTTGGGTGCCTCTGCCTCAGCTCTGCTGAGAAAATGTCTAGCTATATTTTTTCCATCCGTGACTTTTAAGATTAAAATTAAGATTATAGAACGCTATTGAAAATGGACTCTACACAGTGTCTACCTGTGCCCGGACTCCTCTGAAATGGAAGATTGAGGGGCTAGCCTGGAACATGGCCTTTTGTGTCCTATTAGCTACATAGTGCTCTCTAGATCCAGTGCTGTGGCACACTTTCTGATGTGAAACTGTCTCTGAAGGCTCACTTAGCAGGTTTGGCCAGGCTGCAGCACCGGGAGCAAACTCATTCAGAACTGTTGACTACACTTTTCAAATTGCAAGCCATTTTTACCACAGTGACTCTTGCGGCTGAGGGCTTTAGTAATGATGTCAACTGCTAGGTGAAGTGCTGTGTGCTGTCTTTCTTGCTATTCATCCTAGATCAAACCCACTGTTGTTCATGCTCCTGAAGTACCAGCCCATATTCTCCTAATGGTTTTGGGGACATTATCCAGTGTCCCTAGATGGAACGTGGGACCCTTTATTTTTATAGTGTCTTCATGTGCCGGGTCTATTTCAGCTCTGTCAGACAGGGTCATAACCTCTTCCATTGCTGTTTGGACCATCGCTAATGGACTGTTCTGCCCATAGGGGTTTAAGCATGCTCTGGCGTAATCCCTGGCAGATTCTGTTTCTGATCTTTTTATACTGAGTCTGCAGCTTCTATTATTTCTTATTCAGGTTCCCAAAAGTGAAAAAAGGCTGTTTTTGGGTCAGTGCAGTCTCCTACATTTGGCTCTGTTATACAAAAAAAGGGCTGGTTTCTTACCTTATAGTTGCAGTCTGTATCACACTGCATTTGGTAGATCAGCCTGCTGTTATAGGCCTTGGGTTTCTTAGAGGTCCTACAGTTGCCAAGATCTTGCTACACCTACTGTTTAAGAACTTTTTTATGTGAACTGAAAATGCCCAGAAGTGTCCAATTTGGACCCCACCAGAAACTGTGTTAGAGCATTTCCCCTTTGAAGAAGGGGGTCAGTAATAGGTGGTATGAGCTCAAAGTGGATACCCTCAGTGATCCATGTTAACAGTAATAACACTAGAAAGGTTGAAGGTACAGCTGCCTCTCAGCATGTTTCCTGATCTACTATACATATTTGTGCATTTTACCAAGCTTCTCTGGTAAAATGCAGGGAGGGACTGCACTATAGCCACTGGCAGTAATCAAATGTAAAAAATTGAACAGGCTGGTTGTACTGAAGTCGATCAATGGATCCAAATCAGTACAACCACCTTGCTCGTACATGGATCAAATCTCAGCTGGTCCCTGTTGAACCAGCCAAGATTTGATACATTTATGGGCTGCTTTAGTGCATTATACTTTTCTTTTAATGTTTAATTTTTATTTAGTGCTACAAGGAGATTAAATAAACTACATTAAAATATCCTGATTTTTGATGGGTGACTAGAGTGAGGAATAGTAAATGGCATTTATGCTGTATCTCAAAAACTAGAGGGAAAAGTCGATGCCGTTTTTGGAGTCAGCAGGTCAAATATACCCAGAAACAGGTGTAACATTTAAGGCACCAAAATGTGATGGCCAGTGCATCCATCAGAGAAGTTCTTTAAAATATCTTCCCTTCTCCTGTCATTAAGCAGGTATTGTTTTTAGCTTTTGACTAAAGTTTCTCCCCCTTGCTTCCCAGCTGTTGACACTTGGAGTGGGTCAGAGGACTGATAGTTCCAGGTCTCCGATTAGGTATGCAGGCCCACAATGTATTTTTTCCCTATTGGCTTCTAGTGATACCACCCGCCCACTGTCCTTTTGAACAGTTCTGTTTGCCCTACTGTCTTGTGGTGTTCCTGCACCAGTGGGTGGTTGGCTTTCCACTATCTAATATGGTAGGATAAACGTCTTGCACTTTTTTGTTAGCCTTTTTGACTTGAGGCACTTTTGCTGGGTTGTTGTAAACTCCCAAGGTCTGTGAACATACCATTGAGGTATTGTGCTAGATGTTTCTTTATTTAGATTCTCATACAAGATTAGATGACTGTCTTAGCCATCCCTTAGCCTTTCTTCTCTGATGCCCAGGGTTGGAAATTTGAGGCTTGAACCTTTTATCATTCCTGGACCAGCTGGACTTGTCTTGTGGGCCTATCGTCCAGTTATCACTTAAGGATATGTTTTGAGGCTGGAAATCCTCCCAGCGTTTCCCTTGTTACCTTTTTTTTTTTGGTATGTTCTCCCTGTTCAGGTAGTTACAGGCTCCATATGTTGGTGGTTGCTTGGCATCTGCTGTTGTGGGATCAGTGCCTCACAAGTAGTCATTCCCTTTTTGTGGAGATCCTAATCCAAATCTGCACATCAGAACAGTCCTTTCTGACCTCCTCTGGTCAGTTCCTCTGTCTTATAAGAACTTCTCTTCTGGTTAGATTGAGACATTGGCGCTCTTGGTTGCTGCAGACACCTTCTGGTAGACTGCTTTTGGGCGTTCCAAATGTCTAAGCATTTCTACATTCCTCTGCCCTACAATGGGAGATAAAATACAATTTTTATACTTATATAAAATCTTTTCTTTGAAGTCCATTGAGGGGTACACATCCTTATCCCTCTGTTTATTGGCCCTGTGTGCTGCCTTCTCTTAAATGGGAAGCATGACATTTAGGGGCTAGCTTTTATGGGGGCTGGCTTTCATTTTTTTTTTTCACTCTGTTTGCCAGTGTCCACACCTCATGTAGGCAGCAGCATATAACCAATATGTCTAAGAACTTCTACATCCCTGTGTCCCTCCGTGAACTTCAAGAAAATGATTTTACAGTATGTACAAAGAACTTTTTTTGCAATCCAAGGAGGATTCTGATGTGGGAGCTGTTTTTTTTAACTTATTCTCCAGTTTCTTAAACTTTAAAAAAGGTTTTTACTAAATATGTTTCATATACCTGTGAAAAGTGGAGCTGTATAATTTTCAGCTCTTTTTAAATAGGAACATTAAATTAAACTTTTCAAGAATCAGAGGGAAAAAAATAATAAGCAGACTTTACTTTAAACTCTATGTATAGCTTATATTCGTTTTATATTGGGACAAGACACAACTGAAATGAGGGGAAATATATACAAAGTTAAGGCAGGACCCCTTGTCAGGCAGTTGTCCCTGGAACATGTTAACCCCTTGTCAGGCAGTTGTCCCTGGAACATGTTTTCCCTGTTGGAAAATTTGCTGTCTTCTAATAAGGATTGTAAAATTTTGGATTTTCTATCACTTTCTGTCTCGGTAACAATGTTATCAAGCACAAATAATCTACGCACTGGGGAGACACAACTATAAAAACGTGACGGGTTCTAACTGTTCTTCACTGTATCCAAAACAAAAACAATTTGGCTGTACATTAATTGAAAACTACATGTTAAACTGTGGTTCAAGAGCTACATGCAGTTGAAATATGTATATCTGGATTACCTCACTTACCAGAACATGTTTGGAAGATGGAAATGCAATGAGCAGTAAAGAGGTATCAAGCCTTGTATTATAAGTTTCTCCACTATGGGGCTGTGGTCAAGTCCTCGGTTAAAATATTGACATTCTGTAATCCAGAGCATAAACAATCCCACAAAATCACATTACTTGGCTTTCACATTCACTTATCTTATCAATAGTCCAAATACATTGGCTTTTATTTTTTCATCCTTATACCTGTAACATTTTACACTAAAGGGCCAATTAATACTAAAATACAGCTTTGCTGCTGATATATTTGCTGTTGCAATGTCCATCAAACAGAACAAAACAAAATCTTTGCATCGGAAAATATTACTATACCCCCCTCCATATATTGTCCTTTCTGGTACCTTTGGGCCACCTAAGGCACATTCTGGTATATTTACAAATTTTGTTTAATGGCTCTTTCATAGCAGCTAACTTGTATTTTAGATTTGATGGTCAAATTAACTTTCTGTCACCATCTTGTAAAGCATTGTTTTTTCTTTCTGTACTTATTTGTTGCTTTTTGCTTTCTATAAAGAAACATTCTAATGCTGATGATCTTTCATCCTGGTACTCAATTAACTATTATTGAACGAAGTGTGTGATACATTGTCACGTTTTACCAGCTTAATTTGATGTTTTTACATGAAATCTGACAAAAGTGTAGTTTGTGTTTTTGTGTGTTTTTTTTTTTTTTTTTTTTTTTTTTTTTTTTTTTTAATCCTTTTAGCGGGAGTGTAGAACATGGACATCAATATGGTGGTTTTTCATCTGGCTCATGTAGTATTTATTGGTCAAAGCTGATGTATAACTTTTTAGCTTGCTTTAACTCTGCTCCGAATACATAGTCAAGATTTCACATAAAAGGGAGTTGATTTCTAGTTTCTATGGCTGTTTTTGATTGTGGTTCTTCAAGAATAGTAGCACCTTTTTTATAATGATTTGTGTTGTTCCATAGAACGGAACCTAAATCCAAAGGCAGCCTGTCTGAAAAGGCGTGAAGAGGAAAAAAGTATCAGGTGTGGACCCACAAATTGGCCTTGCTGGGGGACTTCCAGGTCTCGGGGACTCTCATAATTCAGTGGGACACATGTGAAGTGAGTATTATTGTTGTACATGATTATCTTTATACATATTTATAGTTCCTTACATTCTTAATTTGTATTACATTATATATTTATTTTTATATACTACTTTAGATACAATTTAAATTAAAGACCCAAAAGAACCATTCAGTGTACATATAACCAAAACAAGTATTTCTGCACTAGTTGTATGTATTAGGCCTTTTTCATACAGAAAGTAAGGGGGTTATAAAAACACTCTGTTGAGAGCAGTCCTGTGAGTGAGGTGAAAAACACTCCAGTTTCAAACAATGTAATGATCACTCTTTCATGCCCTTTAAGTACACTTGCCAGATTCCATTGACCACTTATAAAGTAAGGTCAAAGAGTGCTTATCCAAGGTGCCTCGAGTCAGATCCAATTGTTCCATAATAGTAGTCCACATATCAACAGTAAAGTATATACTCTATGTAAAGGTAAAGAGAAAACGGCATCACCTAAAAATAGCATTTAATAAAACCTATTAATAAAAAAAAAATTGTTTACAAAATAAATGCTTGTCCATCACCAAGGATAAGCCATTCAATCCCTTTAGAGCCAAATTCAGTGAACATGTTTTTTTTTGTTAAATCAACTGATATGCTGAATTTTTTTGGATTGGACAATATTATATTTATCAAGGTGTGTTACAAACGAAGATCTATAGAAAACCTATTATGACAAATACATTGCTACACTGTAATCACCATCAACCAAAAAAAAAAAAAAGCATTCTAATAGGCCTGTATTTACGGCTTCTTTTCACATGGAGTGGAGTCTGCTCCAGTCAGCAGGGGATCCATTTGCGCTGGTTCAATTTGTGCCGAAAGACGTAGGTAGACACGTGTTAGTTCTATGGGTGGATGAATGTAAATGGACTCCATTGTTTACATCTGGCTAACTGAGCTGTCATGTTTAGCTCCTGAAAAACTGAAAGGGACGCAGTCCTTTGCATGTTACGTTTTTGTTTGTTTTTTTTTATTTTTTTTTTTTTTTTTCACCTTCTGGAGCGGTACAGACCCAGAGGTAGATGGCTGTAAAGGGATACAAGTCCATTTACATCCACCTGTCCATTGGGCTGCACTGGAGCTTCCGATCAGATCCACCTGAAAAACTGACAGGCGGACCTGATCAGAATGCCTATGTGAAAGGACCAAGAGGGTGAAAAGCTTGCTCAATGGCACGAGAATTTCACCGTTAAAGTGATGTTTACTGCAAAAGCTCCGTGCTTTGGATATCGCTATCATCTCCAGGAGTGGGTTGCACAATGCCTTTAAAGTGGTTGTAAACCTCAGTCACGAAATCTGAACAGAGCACAGCTATATGTAGTATTTACTTGTCTCTCTCCAAAGCTCCAACTGTCTCTCTGGTGCTTAGTTCTTCTGTTAGCAGCATCTCACTTATGAAAAGTTTTCCCGACACATAAGATAAATTTGTGTCAGAGGGAGGGGGAGAGAGCTAAGCAGGCAGCTTGTTTATTCAGAACATAGCTGCTGTGTAAAGGGGGGTGTTCCTTTCTTCCAATCAGCTCAAACTGCAGCTCCTTGCCCCCTCTATAATACTGAGAAATGCAGAACGATTTTACCTAAAATCAGCAGTTACCATCATTCATACAAACATAAGGCACTAGGAACAACAAAGGCACCATGAACAACTGACTGTTTAAGGCAAAATGCTTAGTACAACCAAAACGAGAGCAGGTGCTTTTCGCCTTGTCAATATATAAATAACAGTAGATAGCAGAGGAAAGGAAAAGCAAAAAAAAAGCTTGGAAGAGAGGGTCAAGATATGAGATATTAAGGCACAGATATGTATTGAATCCACGGGTTCCATACGCTATCAAATTTCTTTGAAGCATTTTGCAGGATACAGGTGAGCTTGTCATTGACCATAATCCCAGTTTAGTTCTTTTTTTTTTTTTACATAAGTGGAATAGCCGATTTGCTTCCAATGTCTAGCCATGGTGATTCTCGCTGCCAGAAACTTGTAAAAGATTAGTTTATGGGATTTCTTGGGAGCATTATTAGGGAATTTATGAAAGAGCGCTGTCTCCGGGGATCTGCGTATGTTTACTCCCGTCATGGAATTTACCAAGTTAAACATACAAATCCAAAATCTAATTGCAAGTGGACACTGCCACCAGATGTGATACATAGACCCCACCCAGCCACAGTGCCGAAAACACATCGCAGAAGCAGAAGGATGCATCCTCTCAATCCAAGTAGGAACCAAATACCATCGCAACAAAGTTTTATAACTGGCTTCAATTGGGGCAGTATTGATAGGAATTTTGATACTGCAAAAGCAATATTTTGCCAATTCGATCAATCTTAATTGACAGCTAAATCACTTTCCCAGTGCTCCATATAAGGAAGTTTACAAAGCGATTCAGTGAGGAGAGCATATATTACGGAGATACGATCTTTTGGAGAAGTCCTATTCCAGTAAGAAAGTTCAAATGCAGTAAGCAAAGGTGATTCATCCAATAAAGCAAGCTTCGAGCGGAGAAATGAGACAGTCTGGTTATATCTGAAACTTTCAGAGGCATGCATATGCAATTTGTCCTTAAAATGTTGTAAAGAATATATGCAAGAACCATTAAGATAGTCTCCTATCCCAACAAGCCTTTATTGATCCACCATTTAAAAATGTCCGGCTTCAAACCAGGCACAAATTCAGGGTTACAAAAAACCGGAGCTACAGGCGTATGTGGAGATACCAATGATTTATGATGGCGAACCCTGTCCCAAACTGCCAAAGAAAACGACAGAGTGGGGCACTGTATAGGAAGGGCGTAAGCGATTAGAAAGCCAAAGTAACGCCCCGACTGCGAGAGGGTGACAAGAGAGCTTAGATAGAGACCCAAAGGGGAATATTACCCCCAGCCAATTGGGCGATTTGTGCAGCCTGCAAGTACATGTGGAGATTAGGGAGGCCAGCGGTGTCCTCAGTCTTCTTTCCTCGGTTCCGGCACCCGGCTGTGACAGCTTGTGGCTTCACTTTGTGAATGGCCCTGTAAGCTTCTGGGACCTGGGGAAGGACAACTCCGCGGAAGTAGGAGCGGGTACCTCTCAAATTCGGGTGCCCGCTCTCCTGTACTGTGTCCACAGTCTCTGGTCAGCTCCTGTACTGTGTCCGCAGTCTCTGGTCAGCTCCTGTACTGTGTCACGCAGTCGCAGTCTGTACTGTGTCAGTCTCCTCCTGTACTGTGTCCGCAGTCTCTGGTCATCTCCTGTACTGTGTCCGCAGTCTCTGGTCATCTCCTGTACTGTGTCCGCAGTCTCTGGTCATCTCCTGTACTGTGTCCGCAGTCTCTGGTCATCTCCTGTACTGTGTCCGCAGTCTCTGGTCATCTCCTGTACTGTGTCCGCAGTCTCTGGTCATCTCCTGTACTGTGTCCGCAGTCTCTGGTCATCTCCTGTACTGTGTCCGCAGTCTCTGGTCATCTCCTGTACTGTGTCCGCAGTCTCTGGTCATCTCCTGTACTGTGTCCGCAGTCTCTGGTCATCTCCTGTACTGTGTCCGCAGTCTCTGGTCATCTCCTCTACTGTGTCCGCAGTCTCTGGTCATCTCCTCTACTGTGTCCGCAGTCTCTGGTCATCTCCTCTACTGTGTCCGCAGTCTCTGGTCATCTCCTCTACTGTGTCCGCAGTCTCTGGTCATCTCCTCTACTGTGTCCGCAGTCTCTGGTCATCTCCTCTACTGTGTCCGCAGTCTCTGGTCATCTCCTCTACTGTGTCCGCAGTCTCTGGTCATCTCCTCTACTGTGTCCGCAGTCTCTGGTCATCTCTCTACTGTGTCCGCAGTCTCTGGTCATCTCCTCTACTGTGTCCGCAGTCTCTGGTCATCTCCTCTACTGTGTCCGCAGTCTCTGGTCATCTCCTCTACTGTGTCCGCAGTCTCTGGTCATCTCCTCTACTGTGTCCGCAGTCCATTGGTTCAGAATATTTTTTTCCTGTTTTCCGCCTCTAAAATCTAGGTGCGTCTTATGGTCAGGTGCGTCTTATGGAGCGAACAATACGGTAAGATGTATGGATAGAAGTTTCGTTAAAATTTTTAAGTCAAAATTAATTAAGGAAATAGGGCGATAATTGCGAACATCAGAAGAATCTTTATTGGGTTTGGGAATAACACTAATATATGCCCTCATCAATGGGACCCCTCCCTCTTCCTTCAAGGAATTGAAGTAGTGTCAAATGTGGAAGAAGATGAGCAGAGATGGTTGCCCACTGCCAGGTAACATGACTCATCACTTAGTAAAGACTCGTTCAATCGCCAATGTGGTTTAACCACTCTAACCGTCAAATCTGAGAGTGTTAGAATTACAGGATCATGGTCTGACCAACGCGTCAACATAATTTTAGCCGAATGAAGCTTAGCTATCATTTCTGAGGGGAGAAAAACATGATTTATACGAGAATAGTGGTTATGGGCCCTGGAAAAGTGGGAGTATTCTCTAGAGGTGGGATTGGCCTCCCGCCACGCATCATTTAGGTCATGGTGATGTAAAAGCTGCGCAAAATCGCAGTTCTGTTTAGAGGGCGATTTAAGTTTGGTTGCATGGAACTTGTCAAGTACATGATCCAAGGCCAGATTAGAGTCCCCCGCCAACATCACATCGCCTTCCAGTTCTTTACACAAAGATTTGAAAAGGGAACAAAAGAAGGCCCCTTGATTCGTATTAGGGGCATAGTAAATAAGAAAAGACACCATATTGCCCTCCAAATGACCCTTGACCAGAAGATAATTTCCCTCCCTATCCCTTAAAGCTGTAGTTTCCATAAATGACAGCCATTTGGCGTTGTCAAAAAAACAAACCAGGAAATCCCTATGAATCTATCTGGGAGTAAAAGAAGGGACAAAATGTGTTTCCTGTAAAGCCACAATGTCGGCTCCCAAAGATTTTATAATGGGAAAATATTTTAAGTTGCTTAGAAAGGGAGCCTAATCCCTGAACCTTATGGGAAAGCAAACGTATCATGGCAGCATGTTG